TGTTCTTATTCCGGGAGTTGGCGGCGTTCCTCATCCACTGGATGTTGAGATTCGACGCCAAATTTCGCGTCGGTTTCCAGAGTTTCCCCCCTTAGTATCTCCCCCAGAGGGGGCACCGCCCCAGCCAGGGTAATGTCTAAGCTCCCGAATAGTCCCCCGGGAGGTATGGTAAGGTGAGGCATGTAAATGTAAGTGTTTGCGTAAGGGATGAGGAAGGAGACAAGAGTGAAGAAGGAAAGATCGCGCGTAGACCCTGACCCGTTTATTAGGGTGTTGCTCCATGATTCGCCCTGCAATACTCGGTGGAACCATGGAAAACTAGCGAACAGAGCAGCTGGTCAATGTAATTCCCCAGATAGCGGCCGAGTTCGACATAGCTATCTGTAATGTTAGTGTTGAAAATCCGCCACCGTTGGGACTCGAACACCATACCACCCGGTCAGAGTCCCTTCAGAGAGAGAGAGAGAGAGAGAGAGAGAGAGAGAGAGAGAGAGAGAGAGAATGCTAGTACTGAGCTAAGTCATAGGTGAGAATATTTTTAAAATATCTTCGAGACTTCATATAAAGTAGTACCCCCAAATAGTTAATAGACTGTTTGAAAATCGCAGTTCACAGGTTCTGTCAGGATGATTGGGGGTAAATCCAGTTTGGGAAAATATTCTCAGAGAGATGGTTAAAAAAGAAAATCTTTCGATATAAAGAACGCCCGCAAAACTTGTACAACTTGTACACTTGTACACTTGTATTTCTCTCAAAATCTCGACATCGATTTTTCAGCTTTACATAACTTAATACTTCACATAGATTACATATGTACTAGTACTTGAAAAAAGTAAATAACACTTTCTACGTTAGAAATATATTTCGGAAGAAAAGTGCAATTTTAGTTACACAAACATGACTGAGACTTGATTCGGGGTCATCTTGTACTTGTAAAGTATTACATTTCCTCCTCATTCTCCTTGCTGTTGTTCTTTTCCTTCTTTACATCAATTTCTTCTTCGTCTTTTGTATTTGCTTTTTAATTATCCCTTCTACTTCTCTTTTTACATGTATCTCCTTCTTTACCTACTATTTCCCTTTCCCCTGTCTCTCCTCCTCCGCGTCCTTTTGTTAAGTCGCTTCCCAACCTCGGACGGAGGGGGAGAGGTAGTGACGACGATGATGAAAATGGATAGAAATGGTTAAATAATAATGGAACAGTGGTGGAGTGAAAGACGTGAACTACGGACTGACCATGAGAAAATCGGCTGCAACCTGCTTTTTTCTGCAATTTCTATTTGGAACGAAGAGCCCCAACTGTAGAATGATAGCGGTCTGGTCGCTATGCTTAGGATCGCCCTAGCCATTCTTAGCAATTAAATATATTTGTATTCACGAACTTATAAAGTAATACGGAATAAGGAGGCAAATGATCAAAGTTCTTCACTACTTTGTTTTTTTCTTTTATCTTAAGTTAAACATTTCTTGAGATATATAGTTTTAATCACCAGCATATGTAAAAGAAAGTATAAAAATGTATTCACTCCATAAGAGTTTTGTGCTAAAATGTGTGCACTCGAATGATGATTCGGCGGCAGGGGGTTCACATCTCGTGGCATAATGGCTAGTACATGTCTCCGCCGGGACTCGTTTTGATCCTCAGTCAATCCATCTGGAATTTGTGACGGTCAGAGAATACTTCGGCAGGTTTTGTCGGGGTTCTGCCGTTCCCTCTGTCTCTTATTCTAATCCACCATTATCACTATCACTATTGTCTACTCATTAGTTCATGTGCGTCAATGACCACAGTAGTTGCAGTGCCCTAAACCTCAATAAATAAAAAAATCTAAAGGTAAAATTTTACTTCACTATGTGCACTTTGTGTTCGCGTGCAAAACCAAGCGAAATGGTCTTGCTATAAACAATTCTCCTGCTACTGCATTTATGCCTAAATCACCTCGTAATAAGTGTACTAGATAAAAATAGTATCATACTCATAGAAAAAGGCAAATGATGAGTTCAAAAATAGAACAGAGTTATTAGCATTGTGTCTAAGCTCATTTTGAATTTTATTAGGATCTTTAAGCCTTTCATTTTCTTACTCCCTCTTGAACCTCCTATCCCCTTCCAGGAGAAAAACCACCAGCAATCCGGAGAACGTGTCTGTGCATACATTGACGAGCCCGCCCGTGTCTTTGTTGAAAAACGACGAGGAGTTCATTTCGACTCTCTCATAACGATTCTTGTTTTCACATTTTGTTTTCCATGCGTCAACGCATGACGAGATGTGGTAGCTCTTTCTCTCTCGTTCGTGATCTTGCATTCATGACATTATGATCAAAACGTAACTTTCCGCTTATTCTTCTCGTTTGAAAGGTTTCTAGCGTATGGTAATCGGAGATGTTTTCTATGCAAACGACGGTTAATTTTCTTGTCCATTGTGTATACACTGTATGATCTACAAAAAACATCAAATAAGTAGAGGGCTTTAAAAAACTCCTGTTGTCACCGAACAATAAAGATAGTGCTACTATTGATTGATGTTTCCCGGTGCGTCTACTGCTACGGTCGTTAGTCCCGTAAGTGTGGTGATGTTTATCGCGAGAGGTGACGGTGATCTCCGCTGAATGATCAGATACAGTGCCGACCTAAATGTAGGTTTGCGGGGTTTTCTCCGTATCTTCCACCAGGGCAAACTAAGCTCCCGATTGGTCTCCCGACATGTGTGGCAGTGTAGTACAGGTAAATGTGTGCGTATTCTCCGACGTTCGCCTAGTGTTGATCGGAGGAACCACGGAAAATTACCGATCAGGACAGCCGGTCGCTAGAATTATTCTCCACACAGCGGCGGAACTCAGACTAGCTGTGTAGCCAGTGTCGAAAATCCTGCCACTGTTGGGATTCGAACCCATGCACTTCCCGGTCAGAGCCACTGCTTTAACATCAGTTGATGCACTGAGTCACCTAATCGGAAACGTTTTCTTCTATGTACACTTTATAACAAACTACTGTTATTATTTGTTAGAAATGTTGGTTTGTAATCTAGTAAATTGACACCAACGACGATACAAATAAAGTTTGTGTAGTGTGGTAGGATTGTTCGTTAATAGACAAATCTGTGAACTTGTGGAAAATAAATCGGATATTATTTACTTATTACCGCCAATTAATTAATTAATTTCGTATGAAAGTAATATATGTATAATACTAAAAGTGATGTTAGTATTGTTCCCACCAATATAAGTAATGTTGTTGGTGTTGTTCGCACAATAATAGAGTGAAATTGTCATAAAAATAATTACCTGAAAATTTATTATATTGTATAGACGTTTGGAATTCTCTTAAATATTTTCTCCAACTGAAGATACCATCTCAGATCGGGGGAGCGCAGTTTGGTTTTCTCAACGCGCTGCGCTATTCGCGCTGATCAACGACATTCGCGGCTCGTATATTAAGAATATTTTCATGTGTGATATCTGTACATTGAACATAGCGACTAAATCGAGACCCACCTCTTTCATTTGTCGTAGTGATTTCTATTTTCACATCATATTTATTAAAAATGTACATTTTGTTAATTAAAATAATGATCTTCGTATTTAACTCAATACTTAGTTGGTTCACTATCACTATCTTGACAATCTGATATGAATTTGTCTTGTAGTAGCCTGGTCAAGACTCCCACCTTTCGTCTGTTCATAGAGATATTTGGTCAATGTAACTTGTTACTTCAGTCTTGGAATGTACGTTAACTTAAGGAGTTCCCCACGTTGAGGTCGGTACTTTTGTGAACATCATACCTCTTGATCTCTTTATTGTAGTTGTTATTGTCAGTATTAATGTTATTATTATTATTATTATTATTATTATTTGGCTGAAGTGGCCTTTGGCGTCGTGGTGTGGTCTGAGTGCGTGTGTTGTTCGCAGAGCATGTGCGCCCCACCGGCATGTCCTC